GCAGAAACAGTTCTGACTTCTATTGAAGTGAATGGTTGTACAGAATAGAAATTTCGGGTTGTCACAGAAATATGTTCTTGAAGATGTTTTCCTGGCTATGTATTTGTACATTTGAAGCTTTCACAATTCAATCACGTTCAGTTCAAAGAAAAATGAAGAAAGATGGGCTTTTTGATAACATAGTCGGTAGGGGTGAGCGCGGTGCGGTTCGATGCGATTATTGGTCAAACCCTCACCACTAACTGCAAATACGGTTAATCCATTTTCAAAACCTCTTGGTGCGGTTATTTTTGTGGTGCGATTAGACGGTTATTTTTGCGGTGCGGTTTTGTCTTTTTGTGTTTTGGTTATTAACCGTATGGATTTGGTGTGATTATTTTGTGTGATTTTTAACCGCAATTTAGAGTTCAAAAGGTTTTAAGAGTTCAAACATATTACTTCTAATAATAAAAAACATAAGGTATAAGACAATTAACTTAAATCACAAACAACTAATATCTTAAAAACGTCAAATCAGTAGTAACTAATAATAAATATCTTAAAATTGTCAAATTTCACCATTTTTCAAAGTTAAACGTAACAAAAAACTAACACTTTTTTTTCTAAAATTTTATCATTCTTCATCCATGAAACTTGTCTTATTTTTAATATTTAATATATTAATAACTAACAAAAAAAAAGTATATAATATATGCGGTGCGTTTTTTTTTTTTAACTAATAACCGCACCGCACCGCAAATTTGTGGTTTTTGAAAAAAAGAAAACATCACCATCGGTTTTTATTGCTGTTGCGGTTTATACAATTTTTACAGTTAGTTTTTGTTGCGGTGCAGTTTTTGCTCACCCCTAATTAGGTGGTATGTCATGCAATTAGGTTCTCTTTAGATTTCATAAATTGAAAATGATTTCTGGCGTGGTGCCGTGGTCACAAAACCTTTTAATGTGCATTAGCCTAAAAGTTTTTTTTCTAACATCTCACTAACGTCAATAACATATAATCCTTCACACTATTAAAAATAAATTATTTCACAATAAATATATATATGATATTTTTGGTAATGTTTCAATATAACATAAAAATTATAGGTATTAATAATTGAGAAATCTCCAGAAAATTCCAAATTTTATTTTGTTAACGGAAAAATAAAAATATTTATTACCAGATACAAAATTCAAAATCAGTCATTTTTTTACTAGTAAACGATTTTTTACTCGGTTACCGTCAGAAAAGTCCGCTTATTTTGGCTATGAAATAAAGACTTTTTTTCCTTAAACTTTTTTAATCTTTCAACAAAAATCTGAAAATTTATTTGTTCAAATTATGAATAGGAATAAACCTCATTAAAATCTATAAAACTAATAATCAAAGTCCTCTTTAACCAATTGTTTGCCACAAAATAATGGTAACTAATATCATTTTGAAGTCATTATCGTTCATATAATATGTTTATCACACAAGTTTATGTTACGAGTATTATAAGATATTCAAATTATGTGATGAATACCTTATTATAAATTATCTAAAAGCAGGTTAAATGAGAACCAACTCTTATGTTAATGTAAGAAACCGTTGACTGATGACAAAGAAATCCATATAATATTAGGTTAGGTGAGGTTGTATGGATTCTAGCAAAGAACATGAGTTTATCCTTAAACCATACGTATATATGAACAATTCCTCCATTGTGAATAAGTTTAAATTTCGGAGCTTCAAAACATCAAGATCGTAAGAAACATAATGTTTGTTCTTCTCGGTGTTCACTTCTATTATAACTTTTGGTTTGTCACATGAATGTTAAAAATGAAGTTATGTTTTAGATACCCATATATGATTATGATTTAATGATAAAACTCATGATATTCTCTAGATTCCGTTAAGCCTCACCAAACCTGTTATTGTAGTGATTGGTTTGTCACCAGTCATATGTTTCTTATATGAATATAATGATTGGTTTTCTTTAACCTATTTTTAGATAGATTATGATAATGTGTTAAACACATAATTTAAATATCATATAATACGTGTAGCATAAATTTGTGCGAGGGACGGATTATATGGATGATGATGAGTTCAAAATGATGTTAATCGCCATTATTTTGTGATAAACACTACAAACAAAATGACATTTAATGACATATATTTTTAATGACATATATTTGATGTGTCACTGTATCATGTTTTTAGTGACATATTGTATGTGCCACCATAAATATTAATGGATTTTATGGCATTTAAAATTTTATGACACTAATATTCATAAGTATTAATGGCATAATGTTTTAATATGCCATTAAAAGTTATATTTTATTAAAAGTTATTATATAATTTGATTATTTTACAAAAAAAAAAAAAAAAAAATACAATTTTACCCTTTTTTGGTTTACACTATACCCCCTCCATTCTTAAAACCATTCTGATAATTCAAACAATCAATACAACTGGATTTTCAGCTATCACCATCGCCCCACGCCCCTGCTCCTTCGCCACCATCGTCCCTGCTCATAGGCGTCGTCATAGCCTGCTCCACCGTTGTCCTCGCATTCATCCACCGTCCTCATCGCATTCGTCTATCGTTTCTAGTCTTCACTTAATTTGGTAACCTAGATAATAATTAAGCTCTTCCAACTCTTATACACTGAGTTGATTTTCATATTCTGCTCCTAGATTCAAATTCTTCCAACATACACACATAACACTCGAATCTATGATTATTGATCCGGTAATTTTTGCAAACTTTAAATTCACCATCGCATGTAGTTACAATTTCAACATAATAGTTGTGAAAGGAAGTAGTTACGACCCCTAAGGATTTCAGTTCAATTCTCGTCGGAGGCAAACACAAGTACGTTCAAGTCCGAAGCAATTGTGCCCTAAATCCTCCCTAATGTCTGCATACGTTTTCTGCAATTGATTCTTTGTCGCAGTCCGTACCCTAAATTTGAAGATCTGTTTCATATCTATTGTGATTCAGGTAAGTTTCTTTCACGTATTGATTTATTTATACATGTAGAATCATAGACGCAGATCAGGAAGTATATTAAATCGATGTTGTTGTTCTGATGGTGATATATTGGGGGTCATATATCTGAATTGAATGTATATTGTTGGTCCTTTTTCATAAATTTTTATCTTTGATCTGCAAGCATATTTATGTTTAAGTTTATATAGCATCTGTATAAGTATTAGTTATTGGTCATACATGTTATAGTGAACAACGTATTTTTGAATAACCTTGGATATGGATTAGTTATTTTGCCCAGATAAGGTTGTGAATTAGAGATCAGTCTTTCAGTATTACCAACTGTTATCATACCAGAACTAGTGGAATAATAATTAGCATATTAAACATTCAACATTTGGATACATGGGATTATTGCCATTTCTAAAACAAGGTTGCAAAGTCTAGTTTGTAATGTCATCTTTAGATATGTTAGGAAATTTTCTATTTCTTGCATTTATCCATATTTTTAATCATAAAGTTGTTTTGTAGAGTAATCTTTGTTTCTTCTGCCCACCAGGTGCTCGACATAATGCCTGGTTGGACTTTGTTCGACCTCAAAGCAGCTTTTTGTGCCAAAGTATGTTTCTATTTATTTTTTTTCACTTATTCCATGGTTGTATACTTGTATTCCATTGTTCAATACGTTTGAGGTCCATTTGCAAATATATCCGGTCTCAAATAAGATTTGTGTGGAGTGCTCGAGTGCCATAGAATTTATAAACACAAAGAGTTGGTGTTCACCAGTTTTTAAATGTTAATTATTGTGAACACATGGCATATAAATTAGGGGACAACTCTAATGCAATTTTCGTATTTAATAGTTATTTTTGTTCTTATTTTATTTTTTATTTTTTATAGGTGAAACAATTTCATCATGATGTTATAAAGAGTGATGATGGTAATTTATATACATGATTCATTGTGTCATTCAAGCCTGTGAGGTAGATGATTTTCCTAAGATTTAGGTTGGTAATTGTTATCAAGAAACTTCCTATGATGCATGCGTTTCTTAATATTTTTTATAAACTTTTTAACTTTATAAAGATCTAAACATGTAATTGTTGAGAGATACTCTTCAAAATCTCGATTTTTTTTCCAGGTGTTATCCGATATAAGTAAATCATAGGCTATTGAAAAGGCATGTGAATGCTTAGGTCTTACGTTTAATACATGTTTTTTCCTTTTTTTATTTCATATTTTCTAGTCAAAAGTATAGATCCTATATTCTAATTGTGGGTTTTCATATGGAATTGTAGTGAATGTCAAGACCCTTTTGATGCTCCGGAATGTGAGGCATTTGACATCTTTGTAAGTGAGGTTTTGATAAGAAATTGAAATTTTAAGAACTAAATATGCCATGCATTGTTGTCAAGAAATGGAGTGGAATCCAATTCCATTCTTTTGTTGTTTTCTATTTGTTTAAAAATTTGTCAAATTAATTGGAATGAATATTATATTAAATGACCAAAATACACTTTATTGATTTTTTGTGCAGGATGTCCTTATTCTTTTGTAAAGGCAGCATGGCAGCACGTCATGCCTTCACATTCAGTTCTTCAATCAGAACTGCACATGCAACGTCTCAAGGTTTGTATATAAAATTTATGCAACAAAGTTCCATCTTTTTCTTAACTTATGAAACAAAGTTTCACTTTTTTCCTAATTTATTCAACAAAAAAGTGGTTTATTTTTCCAAAATTATGCAACAAAGATTACTGATGAAATATTGCATGTTTTGATCTTAAAATGAACTCTGGTTTTATCTCTTTTAACAAAAAATCAGTTTGTTGCATAATTTAAGAAAAAAAAATGAAAGTGTTGCATAGATTTGTTTTTAATTATATGTAGAAGTAATTAGCATAGTTGAAAAAACAAATCTAATAATCGTTGGGATTTTACAACATACTCCTCTAAAACATGTATATGATATAATAATTTCTTAGATTATGTCTTTCTTGATCTTAATTAGGTCATGGTGAGGGCTATCAGCTTGTAGTCGGGCATTGCCTTAGAAACTGCATTCATTTTGTAACACCTTCTCAAAGGATTATTCTACAGGAGTTACTTGACTGGTATACAACCATTTAACCTTGACTCCTCAACAACAAAATGAAAAAATGAAAAAAAAAATACGCATAGTTTATAAATCAGTTAATTTTCATTTTTTTGCGATTAGGTTGCTATACTTTCAAAGCATAACAACCAACTTTCAAAGTATGTTGGTATTACTTTGAAAGTGGGATATATAGTTGTTATGCTTTTTGTTGTTGTTATTATGCAGGCTTTTATTTTTATTTTTTTGTTGTTGTTATTAAGCAGGATTTTATTATGCAGACTTCCCCACGATCCGTTACAACTTCTCCAGTATCCAATGATCTATAGATGATTTAAAAAAAAACATTTAGTTGTATTTGACATTTACTTAGATATTTGATTGAAAAAGTTTAAAAATATTGATGAAAAACAATGAAGTTTTTATTATTTTCTATGTGCTATAATTTAATTAATTATTTTATTTTATTTTGTAGATACAAGTTATGTAGATATAAGAAGCTTAAATTATAGAATCTCATGAATATTTACCGGCACAAAATGTGCCATAAAATATTTTTTTGTATTGTGGCAAATAAAAAAGTGCCACTAAAATCTTAAAATATGTAACTAAAAGTAACGTAAAATTTTGAATCATATGAGCTTTCAATGGCACAAAATATGTGCCACAAAAACCTTTTCATCTATTGTGACAAATAAAAAAGTGTCACTAAAAGCCTAAAAAACTACAACGACAAAAGCAAGAAGTGTCACTAAAGGGTTTTAGTGGGAGCGTTTCTAGTGACACTTATTATGTGTGTCGCTGATTATCTAAAAACCTTTAGTATATTTTTTTGGGTTTTTAGTGGCATTTTTTGTGTGCCACTAGATGACATTTTTTGTAGTGAAATAATTGGTTATAAAGGACTTTGATCCCCAGTTTTATGAAACTTAATGATGTTTAGTTCTATTCATAATTTGAACCAAAAAAATTTCTAGATTTTTTGAGAAAGATTAAAAAAGGTTGAAGTAAAAATTTGGGATTTTTTTTGTAAATCGGACCAGGATTTTTCTACATGTAACTATGTAAAAAAATAGTTTACTGATAAAAAAATTGTTGATTTGAATTTTTTATTGGGTAATGGAGACTTTTTCGTTAACAAAATAAAATACGAGACTTTTTCATGAACTAGACAAAAATATTAAGATTTTTCGAAAAATTTCACTTAATAATTTGCATAAAAGGTTAGTGATATTTACATTTAATGTCCTTGATTGAATAGATGATTACAATACTAACAAATATAGAAAACAAATATCAAAATCTTAATTATGAAAATCCAATAATAAAATTCAGCTTCTTTAATAAGTCCCACTCGTATTTATGGTGTTATAGTAGATTGTATGATTTCATGATTGTATTTGTGTAGTTTTTTGCTAGCTCATTAAGAAAATTGGCTCTTAAAAATGAATTAGAATAAAAATACTTCTTTAAGAAACACTGCAACTTTTACGACGTTTTGAACCAAAACGTTTACTTTGATGCTTACTTTAACTAAAAATGTTAATAAACAATGAAACAACTAATGAAACATTAACAATATAAAATAAAAACTAAAGATAATCAACCCTGTAATACTTTATCTAAATTGTTATTTTCAAGATAGATACTCATGTTTTTAAATAAAGACAAACATATGTACAGAATTTTGTTCTAAAGGATGGAAATCGTAGCAACTATTTTGAAACGCTTTGCAAAATGAAAGAGACAATTCCATGTGACGCCGCAATTTTACGAGTGTCCCACGGCAGAAAAAGCAAAACTTGTAAAGAATTAGGAATTCTTTTAGAGTTGTATTTGTTTTATTTAGACAACTTCAGCCGTTTTATTATATTAAAATACTAATGTTTTCATTTTGTTTTTATTGGTTTCAAACTTAAATATTGATCAGGAAGAGTACCCCATAAGTTTGCATAATTTATTAGACGAACAATTTTTTTTTTGCCTAATAGCTTCATAGCTCTAGAAAATTGCATTAATATATATTTTGTTAGTGTTTGGGAGCAGCATGGTCGTTTATGAAATCGAGAGGTGTCATGAACTTGTTTGAAGGATCCTCTTGAACATTTTTCGAATATACTATTTCGACCTACGTCTGGGTATCACGAAATTCAGGTTATGAAGATAATCCTTCAAACAACAGTTTCAAATCAAGACACTGATAAGAAGCCACAAAATAAAATTTTAGGGATAACGACTTAAAAGGGTAACATATTATTCGATTTGTACACATTTGGTCACTGAGTTTTTTTTCGTCCACATTTACCCCTTAAACTTGTTAAACTGTACACATTCAGTCCTTATGACCTGTTACTCCAGGTTAGCCGAGAAAAATGACTTGATAGGGTAATATATTTTTCATTTTGTACACATTTAGTCCTTAATATTTTTGTACATATTTAGTCCTTAAATTTTTTTTTGTTTCAAAATAAGTCCTTTTTTGTACTCATTCAGTACTTATGATTGATTTCTTTAGGTTTTTTTCACGACA